TCGACATGGGATTGCGGCACTGGGGGAAGCTTGTTAGGAGCGATAAAAAAAAACATGTCAGCTAATAGTTTAGTCACGGCACTTTGTAGAGGGCCACCTTAAAGAAACAGTTAAGCAAAATCAATGTTGTTCCGAAAGCAAAATGAGAATTCTTTTGATAATGTATGTAGTGGTCGTTCTTTTGTAGCGTAGTCTGATTCGTGAGTAATATTACTTATTTGATATGGTTCTTTCAAGGATAGTTGACATAGTCTGGGACGTCAATGACATAATAAACTCACAGAATCAATCAGAAGTCACTAAATTAATTGCAAACTTCGACTCACTCTCTTAATGAATCAAGTTCCTCATTTCTACTGCAGTCGGACTCTTGAACACATTTGTCTTATGAACTGATTCTTTTAACAAATAGCAGACGACAACTCAGAATCAGTCTGGTGGTTCTTTTACATCCTGATCACACTTAGTCAGAGAAGTTACTGACCCACTCGCTGAATCATAGCCCTTCTGAATTAGTCACAGATCGAGTTTGCTGAATCAATCAGAAAAGTTAACATGATATGCTCACTAAATCAAGTTGTTACATTACGACTGGTTTTTCTTTTGTAGCTAACATGAACTAGTTCTTTTAAAGCAAGGGTGCCCAAACTTTCTTTTGAAAGGCAAAAAAAAAACCTTGATTGAGGCCTTTGGGCCAAAGGTAAATATACGTATACATTAAATATTCCACAAGTAATTTCGACCTAATTTACTTCCTAATATTTACAAACAACTATAAAATGTTGCTTTCAATTTGATCAACTAAATAAATTATAATGAACTTACTACAGTAAACATTAACAATCCTATGATACAATAGAATTCAATGCTGAATATTTATGAATATCAATGATGTCTTGTGCATTACCCTTTATCCGTTGAGTCACAGTATTTACATATTAAAAATAAGATTCATTTACAAAACAAAACAAAAAAATTACAAAAGAAACAAAAAAAAAAGTTTCATTAAATTCGAAATGACGATCTCTATGAAAGATATTCACCTTAACCAGGTCCCCATCATCCTCCTACTCTTTTTAAATGGGATATTGGGCCAAATCAAACATTTATTCTTGCCATAATAAAATTAGATTTGTAGAGCAACCCATGTTCTGTTTTCATTAATATTTTAATAAACTTCAAAAGGTAAAATGTCAGCGATAAACAAAAGCATGTGATGCATCAAAGTTTGATTAAAAAAATCTTGAATGGTTATAAAAATCCTTATAATCATTAAAATAATTTATAAAAATAATAAAAACTATTATTTTTAAAATATTGAATAATATTAATATGACAACGTAGTTTCTGAAACTTCCTACTTCTCCGTTTATCCGTCTGATTTTACAATGGGTTTCTTTTGACCGCCCCCCATTGTTTGAAAGAATATCACAACAGCGAACGCTGCAAGTTTAAAAGCCTCGTCAATTTCGCGAGGTGCGCATGCAGTCAGCGGAGGTGCGCGTTGCGGTGCCAGGCGAAAGTATAAATCCAGCTTTACTGTGCGTTCACACAGAAGGTGGCAAGACCATCAAAGTTTACTCTGGCCACCTTGGCGACAACATTGTCTGCCTTTACTGTACTGCCGGCGAGAGCGTCAGAATTTGCTTTTCTTGCATTTAAATAAGCATTAATACACTTCAACACGCTAGTAACTTTAACTCTCTGTAAGAAAACATAGTAAATACCTGAAAATCCGGCGACTGCAATTATCAAAAACTTAGGAACAACTGTGGTTGAAACCAAAGTTCACAGGATTGAGTTCCCTGGAATCTACTCAAGCGGTGGACGTCTACATTACGACTGCTTGCCGCCGAACCACATCATAGTTCATTACCATAAAGTTCATTTGATTTTAACTCTCCTTGACACCCATACTGGCGAAGAGGCACCACGCCACTTATCTTTGCCGGCTCTCATCGAAAATGAATGACTTCCAGCTACTTTGACGCTCTCGCTGCCTTGGTTGTGGTTCTTTTTAACAAATCACACAAGAAAACTGAATCAGTCTAGTGCAGTGGTTCTCAAACTGTGGTACGTGTACCACTACTGGTACACGGATTTCGTTCTAGTGGTACACGGAGGAATGAAATATGTCATGTACATGCTAGATATATTTCAAAATTTATCAAAAATGATGTATATAATATGCCATATATGACATATAGCCTATATTTCTAAGGTAATCTGCCACGTTTTTTAACTGTGCAGAGTTGTAGCTGCTTTACTAGGCCTACTACGCTACTGTATTTCAATACTGCTCATTTTGGTGGTACTTGGAGAGACAATTTTTTTCTGAGGTGGTACTTGATGAAAAAAGTTTGAGAACCACTGGTCTAGTGGCTCCTTCTCACAACAGACTCACTGAATAAATCAGACTAGTTGATAAGCTAGCATCTGACTCACTCATCTTCCCTACTTGTAACTGTAGTTGGATTCAACAAAACTACTTTTAATTAAATTGCACTCAAACTAAGTGAACTATAAAACTAAACCGATCTGGCAATTCCTTTACAAAATGAATTCACACAATCAGTCAGACCAGCTTCTGAAAATGACATCTGACTCACTGAATCGTGACTCATTAAATCAGACTAGTAATGGGATGATAATGTGCTGGTGGCATCAAAATGTTCACTAAAATGCTTTAACCCTTGCGTACAGTTCAAATTGACTACACTTTTGCTATGTTAGTGGCTGTTTTTGCCCATTGGCTTTATTATAACAACATTTTTTGACAGCAAAGCCATGACAGAATATAATCATGCATTCATGAATGTTTGTGTTTTTTTACTGTTGGCAATAGGTAAAACATTTCATTTTTACTGTTGATCATCAGTTGGCAGCTTTAACTCTTTAGATAGACCCAGTTTCTGACTTTTGTTCTGTGGAGTAAATTATAGTTTGCGTGCATAAATACACTTACTATGCTTACAACGTTCAGAGTTGAGCTACTTATTTTTTATTTTCTCAAACATACCATAGCAACAAAGGTCTCTCTCACACTCACACCATACTTCTTATAACAATATAATGTATCCAGAAACTTTTTTTTCACTGCAACTGATGATCAACAGTAAAAATTGGTAATTTTACCTCTTCCCAACATGGAAAATCAGCAACAATCAAGAATGTATGATTATTTGGTGTCATGTATTTGCAATCAAAAAATGTGTTTATAATGAAAGTCAATGGGACAAAAACGGCCACCAACATAATGAAAGGGTAGTAAATTTGCTGTACTGTTGAATTTTTGCATTAAAGGTTCACGAAACACCAAAACACATTTTTTGAGCTGCTAACAGTCATATACGTGCCCACGCAGCTAAAAACACTATTAGGACACATTTGTTTCACTACAAAGTGAAAAATGGTTGCTTTTGTGTTATTTTGAGCAATTTCGTTCTTGCGGTTTGAAAAGAAAAGAAGAATTGTTTGGAGATATGGGTCGTCAGTGTTGCTTTTATAATTTGCTGCATCGAAGGTTTCGTTTTTATTTTCCCTCTATGAGAGTGCAACTGGACTCACGTGTGAATTACAGTGCACGCGACGCTCGATAAAAATATGTGTGAGAGCGAGAGCTTTTTACAACTGGAAATAGTGAAATCCGAATTTGCTGCTCATTTCCTTTTTAAAAATTTGCGGCTCCAGTTGGTGTTGATTGTCCTGTCTCTACAGATTTGGTAAGTAAGCGATCATTGTTCTTAGTTTGTTTATTTAGATGGCAAAGTTAGTTTGTTTCGTCAGCAGTACTCTTTCAGTGTTTAAAGACAGACCTTAATCAAAATGATTTAGAAGTTAATAAAGTTTACAGTACGTTAATATCATTACAATATTTTAGACTGAAAGATCTGCTGTAAATGCTGCTCTCCGAGAGTAAACATGTAAACACCACAATCAAACTATTAGAATTATAGAGTTGTCGTGTAGAATTTTTGGTGACAGGAATAACACACATGGCTTTCTGACGCTACCTACCAATTGCATCCAAGTTACCAAGAAATGCAGAGGGTTTTTTATCTCATTCGTCGTGCGGTGTCAAACACTGCATTAAAAATACACGCTTCCAGCAGTTCTTCAAATCAAATATCATGTTTGTCACAGGGGGCATGAAAGACATGTTCCTGAATGAAAGTGCCAAACTGCAGTTAAGGTCCACATTTTTGCCAAATAGTTCAATTACTGATGTCCATGTAAACACAGTCACTGTCTTTCTCTCCTGCGTCTGTGTGTTTGGTTTGCCTCTGTGAAAATCAGCATCTGCCCAAACCTAAACTCCCATTTTTATGCAAATTTTTATGCACCTTCTCTGTTTCCCTCCTCCGATACTCCCCCCTAAACAGAGCTGGATACGCCTACTTTCCTGACCTTTTCCAAACTAGAGGTGTGAAAACACCCTGCTGAAAAGGGGGTTTCGTGGCCCTTTAAATTTTTTTTTTATCAAAATAAGAAATGTCAACAAAAAACATTCTGTTTGCTAAAACAGAGAAAGTTGTGGCCAAATTAAGAATCAAAATTCCCCCCAGAGTGGATAAAAACATCCCAAATAACACATAAGGTTATACACACAACACATAAATAAAATATGTCTATTTTGCACGCATGCTTCAAATATATTGGAGTCAAGTGAACCAATTCATCATTCACACTTGAAACAAGAAACCAAATCAACAGATTCGATGTAATGATCCAAAACAACAACAATATATTTCACAAGCTAGACATGGCCATTTGTTTCCATCAGTACACCAATGAAAGTCAAGTGAAATGAAAGTGAACGTCAAGGTTATACATTAACATTGATTTCATGTTCTTGGGTCACAAATAAATGAATAAATACTACAATGTTATATAAAAAAGAAAAACAATACAAGACTGGAGTGATTCAATTGAGTTTTAGTTAAGTGAACTCTTTTAGATACTGAATGTGTGTGTGAGTAAGTGTGTGTGTGTGAATGTACCTGTGGTATTGTGCTTGAAGAAACTGGAACTCGTCCTTGATGCGGTCGCACGAGTCTGACGTTGTGAACTTCAGCTGCTGTGATGAAGCCTGGAACGAAAACAATTTATGGTGGTCAATCGCATTATTCAGAAAACGTGTGTTGCAGCATCAGCTGGCCATCTGAGGGACGATGATGCACCACCGCAGCCGTTCCAATGCCAAGAATAGAAAATTCCGGCCAAAACAGATGCGCCCGTCTAAAAGCGAGGAATTCTGTAATCAAGAGTGAATTCAAGTGTACTGTGTATTAAAAAACATTGAAAAAAAAAAACCTCGAAGGCTTACTGCGACATTCAAAACTCATAATTTCAGAGGCGTCTGTCATGTTTGGAGCTCCACATCAGTCGTGGTTTCTGAATTACATGTATTGCGCTCGGAGGTGAGATTATTTCCCTAGTGTGGATGCCACACCTGCAGGGAAAATGCAGATGTTATTGGAACGGTTTTGCACTTTTCAGGGTGGATTTTTACCAGACTTGGTGATTCGCCGGCACTTTTCCTCAATAAGCAACTGCCATACTCGAATTTTGATGAATGCAGGCCTTGCAGCTTTCAGTGTAATTCAAGTAATGCTGAATAAAGAAGAAACCCCAGGACAATCTCTGGTGTCTTCCGTGTTTCAGATTTTGGCTACTTTAAAATGATCTCAAATTTATACGTTGGGTCATTTTGACAGCTCGAGTACATGACAGGAGAAATGCCTCACATATTTCTGGGAAAGAGGAGGTTCAGTGATGAGAGAACTATTCTTTGGCGTCATTTGAGCCATTATTTTCTGATTTAAAATAACATTATTATATAAAATTAATAATCTATCTATCCATCCGTCTATCTATACCTACATCCCTTTGAATCAGTGTTATTTTAGTAAAACTTTTTCCTTCACTTTCGTCAATCAGTGAAGTTTGTTCCTCGCTACTTTTGCCACTGGCTTGCTTGATTTGGGACTTGTGGAGCTGCACATCCATGGATTTGCTCTCCAGTGTTTGGAGTTTCAGCAGTGAAAATTAAATCGCACTGAACTGAACTAAACTGAACTTCAACTCTGACTGAGAGTTTCAGCTTACTATAATCTTCCATGTTAAGCTGCAGAAAACGTGCAATAGGCTACTGTAAAAGGTGCACATTTTATGGTATCTGAAAACTAGACTGACACATTTTCAATTTATTAGAACTTCCATGTTAAGCTGCTTTGACACAATCTACATTCTAAAAGTGCTATAGAAATGAAGATGAATTGAATTCTACAGTTTTGCAACCTTAGAGGGTTTCATAAACTATTAAAATAAAATGGTCTATTGTTGCACGTGTGAGCATTTTAGTGACACCCCATGCAACATTACGTAATTTAGATAAACTTTTAATGACGATACTACTGCTTACAAACTACAGTGGCAACGCCAGAACTCTGGAGCCACAGTATCACAATACTACCATAGTACCTGTAAACTGTGCAGCCCTAGTACATACTAGGGTTGGGCGATGTTGACCAATTTGGCATCGTCCGATGTCTAATGTGAAACATCGCGATGGACGAGGCGATGGTCGTTATATAACAATAAATTCATAGCGAATTAATTCATTGTAGCCTACCGTTTTCACTACCTGACCCACATGGTCTTTGTTTTACCCATAACCAAACCATAAATAAAGTTACAAACAAATGACCAACCGTCAATCACTTTTTTTACACAATTTTCTTACGCCTTGGTTTCGAGCGTGGTCCTGAAAAATCTTCGTTCAAAGGGCTATTCACCCCTTCCCCTTAGCCCTACGCCTTCAAGCTAAAGAGAATTGGGACACCCCTACCCCTTGACATGAACGTGCAAAACTAGAGGTAAGGGGAAGGGCTAAGGAGTAGAATTGGGATTGGGCCCAAGAACTAATGAGCACCTTAAAAACATGCATGCTAATGAGCAACTAGTTAATAATGAGAATTGGAGTTATCAAATGTATTAATTGTTATTGACTGGAATGATTCTGTAGGTGAGTAAATAATGCATTTAATGTAGTAAACAAACTATAAACATAGATACATGCAGCAAATCAACGTTAAAAGTGAAATGCGTGCATTACGGTTTTGCATATGTAAATGTAAAAATTACACTGCAAAGTTACCTTATAACTATATAGATATATGCGATGTGAATATTGTGGATACACAGATTGCGATATCGATGCAGAAATTATATATTGCGCAACCCTAATTTCAAGGATAGAGTGCGCAATATGAAAAATACAATTAAAAACTACTGTGTAAACACAATTTAGAAAATAACATTACCACAGTAATATACGCTATCAAAATATCCCTAATAAGTATAAATCATTCAGAATTCCACTGATCCATAAAATGAATCACACTAACAGTAATAAACTTGACGTCTCTTGTTAAATGTGACGTCATGCGAAATGGCTTCCAGGTGCAAGCACTCTATCAAACTGTATGGGGAGACTCATCAAATGGTAATAATAAACGTTTACAAAGTGATGTAATGACTTCGAAAATCACAATTGCAAAATATATATCCATGCCCAATATTCGATGGCTAGAAAGTGACAAATGTTTTATAAATTGTTAAAATATTGATGTCTGTGATGCAGTAAGTCCTGAAACTGTTGTGGACACCATGGTATAACAAATGTGTGATATGACTAAAAAGTGGTCATAAATGAATATTTTCTCAATTTAAATGAGTAGTGTCTTGGACCCATAAACAGTACTTTATACGTCACCGATACGTCAAGACTTAACAAGCGTATAGTGCTACCAGTAATAACATAAAGCAAACATAAACAAATAAGACAGCGGACATCAATAAGCATGCTCTGTTGTGATTTATTGACTGCTCTTGATCTCTTCTGAACAATCGAGCAGCTGATTCATCATGTTATTTTACAAATTGCCAACCTGTTCTTGACTTTATTTTCAAGTGTTTGCGTTTTTCGTTTCAAAAATCCCAAGCCACTCTGCGGGTGAAGAGCACGGTGGATGAAATTCTCCAAACCCACGGTACGAGCGGACCAACCTTTAACACAAACTGTGTACTTAGCCCGAGTGCTCCGTGCTCTGCTGCATATGAAAGAGAGGCTTGTGTCAACAGCGAGCACTTAGAGCCCAAACAGTCAATCTTTTTCAGACGCCGCTAACAGTAGGCCTCACATTTCTGCATTGGCTTTGGGAGATACGGTTTCCTTGGGGAATTCTGGGGGATCGGGGCAGAGTGTCCGGCGACGAGGAGATCACGGGTGTTACGTACGGCACAATACTCGCTTTCAGCGGCTGCTATGTTGACCTGTTTGCTACACCATCACGTCATCTGGACGGTTTCAGTCAGCGCTAAACAGTGTTGGGCTGTGTGTTGAACAGAGGGAGACTTTAAAACCACCATTAATACATTAATACATGCGTGTTGAAACAGATTTACACATCTGAACATGTGCTTAGGGGCCCCCCAAAGAAGTTCGCTGTGAGGAGAATTTTGGTGCTTTTTTAATAATGACTGCACTTTGACTTTTAGGTGACTTGTTTATTCAAAGCAACTTAAAGTACATTACAAAGCCAGTCCTTTTATAGAGTAACCTGTAGTTAAAAGGCTGATCTGGATCTACAGTAATTAATCAAATTGAAATCGCATGGCGTGATTTGTAGTAAAAAGGGTTGCACCAATATAGACTTTTTGGCTGATATCAATAACCGATAACTCTTCAGACTTGGAGGCCGATAGCCGATATATATATATATATATATATATATATATATATATATATATATGCTGATAATTATAAGTATTTCAAAATTTTATATTTTTAAACAGCAAACTTCATAAAAGATTGAACTGCTCTTATGAACTGAATAGTCTATACACAAAGCAAAAAAGCTATAATTTCAGAATTGCAAGGTGACCATAGACCTATATTCACGATTTCACATAAATCAGCATGCAAAAAAGCATGCCTTTTCTTCATAGCAAATTAACATTCAACTTGACTGTTGCATAAATATAACAGGTTAAATAACAAAATGGTATTTAATCAACAAGCAAGTTAAATATACTTTAAACAAAATTAAAATGAAAGAGCTGAGTACTGAAAGCAGCTGAAATGCTCTTAAATAAAACGTGTTATAGTGATGTTCGTGTAAACACATATGTAATGTCAGAAAAAGTATTTTTTAGAGGTGTTTTGACAGTTTAGAGCCACCATACAAGCGAAAAGCTAAATACAGATTGTATTGCTTTATAAAATACGGCATAGATTCATCCTATTTGGCGTTTCAGATTCTTTTGAACACATGTAGCTGCTGCTTCTCAATGCTTCTCTGTTCGTTCTTGCTGTCAATTGAGGGAAAAATTATCGATGAAAAGTTTATGATAAACCGCTGTGAGTTTCACTCAACTGCAGGCACAGATTTGCCCTCGGTGTCAGATTTTGATTTAACACTTGATCATTGAGCACAGATGACTTTATGACAAAACACAGAGCATAATATAAAGACAGAATGTGCGGCGAGTTGAAACCCCCTATGCTGGATTCAGCAACTGGCGAACCTCTCCCCTGTGCTGCTGTGAAGGCTATCAGATCAGTGTGTGTGTGTGTGTGTGTGTGTGTGTGTGTGTGTGTGTGTGTGTGTGTGGGGTGACAGTCCTCATGCGCGCTCGTAATAATCAATATGAATAATCTGATCAAACTGAATACAATCTCACATCAATAACACAAGGCAAGCAAAGCGTTGATAATAACAAATAATCATTGTAGATTACAGACAACCCAATTGTTTAGCACGTGTGCATCGCTGCTTTTATGTTTACACATGTAACATTTTTTCCTGAGGCGATTTCAAGCAAAATACACAATGGCACTCAATCAAACATACCTACAAAAAAAAGGAATATGGTTACTAACTGAGTTATTAAAGCACAGCAATACCACATGAAAAAAGGATGGACTTTGAAGGAATAAACAGTGTGAGGAGAGATTATCGTTACCGATAATCTTAAAAATAGCATTTGTTGGCAGATAACGAAATGGTCGCCGATATATCGTGC